CATAACCACACTCCTGAGGCCTACCCGTCAGCAGGGCTGGAGCGGAACTACTGTAGGAACCCGGACGGGAAGGACAGGCCGTGGTGCTACATTGACAACCCCCTCATCAGGTGGATGTACTGCGACAAGGTCTTCCCCTGTGATGGTATGATCAGCTCTTTATTACCTCCGCCAGAAGGTTATGCCTTGGGAGAGGAGAGGTTGCATGTGCCTGTGTGTGGTTTTAGTTAGCACAATAACTAAAAAAAACATGAATTTGATAGCTTGTACTAGTGATCTGGACGTGCTAGGGTCACGAATTTTGATATGGTTGATAGTTTTTCTGATCGGGAAGAAGTGTTTATACACAATGACATGTCACATATAGTTTCAACTAGTGTGTGTGTGGTGCGTGTGTGTGTATGACAGTATGTGCGTGTGTGTGTGTATGGAGAATGGAGGGGGTGCAAATTTCATTAAATGGATCTATCTGTTTCCCTTTTTAGCCGTACCAACAAGCTGCTTCTTCACTTACGATAAGGGCAGGAGCTACGCAGGGAACGTAAAAAGGTACGATTGGCACTTGAACGATTGGTGGCGAGACAGTTGACTAGACCATTGCACCTCAAGCTCCGTTATTTCACATAATCTTCAATCAATATCTTCAACATTGTCATTTAAGGAATTATACCTTTGATTTCCTTACCAGGCTTGACTGTTTCAGAACCGCAAGTTTGTGAAAAATACGTTTTGACTAATTGTTTCAGGTTTAACATGATAAGATGCAGCATTTATCATATTGCATCCGATTCCACAGGGCAGGAGACCGTTTGTGTCAGAGATGGGACTCCCAGTCCCCCCACAGCCATCCCCACACACCGCAGGCTCATTCTGGTGCGGGGCTGGAGGAAAACTTCTGCCGTAACCCTGACAACAAGGACCGGCCCTGGTGCTACACCACGGACCCGACACTGAGGTGGGACTACTGTAACGTGACCGAATGTGATGGTAAGAAAGCTGAAGGAAGTCTGTTGCTTTGGCCTCTTCTTCCCCTTCCTTCTCCTCCCCTCCCCCTCCTCTTCCCCTTCCTCCCCCTCCTCTTCCCCTTCGTCCTCCAGCTCTTCCTCTTTTCCTCCTCATTTTCTTCTTCTTCTTCTCCTCTTCTTTCTCCTTCTCCTCCTCCTCTTCCCCTTCCTCCTCCCAATCTTCCCTTTTCCTTCTCCTCTTCTTTCTCCTCCTTCTCCCACACTTTGTCTTTTCTTCCTCCTCCTCTTCTTCTCTTCTTTCCTCCTTTCTTCTTCCCCTTCCCTCTCCTTCTCCCACTCATCTTTTTCTCCTCCTTTTCTTCTTCTTCTTCTTTTCTTTCTCCCTCTCCTCCTCCCACTCTTTCCCTTCCTCCTCCC